GAGGTGCCTACACCTCCAGACATTCACTCAGACAATCTGGATAGAAACTGACAACAAGAACGCCACTGACATCGGTTGGCAGCCATATCTTGTAGTGTCTCCAACCAGACACAGGGAGGATCACGCGGTCCCCATCCTGGAAGGCGAGTAGCACCGACAGCACCCATGCGTTTCGTGATCTCCATACTCCTCTGCCAAGTCAAGGGTTGGCCACCTCGGTAAAATGAACCTAGAAGCTACGACACCCTGTCCAGTGAAGGGCGAGCTGGATTTGGAAGAAAACATCTAGCGTACTTTCCGCTGTTTGCATAGGAGAGAAGGAAGATCTAGTCAAATCTTGAAGGGTAGTTTGCAAATGAAACGGGAATTAGAAGAGCCCAACTTCAGTATAGCAGCAAAAGGGAAAGCCCCCAGGTTGTAGACTTTCGATTGGTTCAATGGGACCCGAATTAGCATCCCCGTCTGTCACTCTTGAGAGTGCTAAGATGTCTATCACTGGTGCAGCACAATTTGGGGAGTTTAAAAAAAATTTGAGGGACAAAAATTGTCAGGACCCTTCAAACAAAATGCGATCGGTTTCGTGGATAGGTGGCCTCCTAGAGGAACCCTGAAATATGAATATCATCGTTTTGTTTAGTGTCCCTTTAGAAGAAACCGTATTCAGTATAAGGCTAGCAGTGGTGGATGCTCCGTACTCAAAACACTGAGTGAGATATACGCTATACTGACACTTACGACCCCTTGTTCAATGCTAAGCTTATCAGGACAGTCCTCGATTTGAGCTTGTTTCAACATGCACACCAACCGACGAAATGTTAACAGATTTATTATTGACAGATCATCAGAACCCCTTGGTTACAGCCTATTTCAGTAGACGAGAACCTCTGAAAATCACTTTCTGATGAATACAGTCATTTGGATGTTGATGAAAACTCTTTCAAGATAATCGGCTGGTCGATACCAACTTTCGAAGGTCTGTGGACCACAGGCTACTTATGAGACATATTCAAGAGTATGAACCAAGAGTCTGGCTTTGTTCAACATAAGATATGCAGTTGAGTTCAATTCAGTTATTCAACTCACCGCACCGGGATGAGGTGGTTCTGGCCACTCCAACTCCGTTCACGAAGGACAGGGAGTTGTGGAATGGGAGACAGGCATTAAAGGTGATGACCCAATCAGTTCATTATGAGAGTTACGCATACCGCCATGTCCCTATGGGTGGGCCCGTTAATTTCAGAGCAAACAGAAGCGTAAAACAAGAGGCTCATCTGAGGTAAAATATGAGCTCAGTGCCCTGATTTTTGCCGAATGGGAATGGCAGTGAGAACTCTCTGTTGTGACATGGATCTTGATTCACACTGAGTCATTATGATGAAGCTTACGTGGGCATCTTCTATAATGTTTCCTGCGGAGCTGGGAAAAAATAATATATCAGTAAAAATCATACAACTTACAAAGTACTTACGATATTACTTAAAGGCAAATCAATAAATAGAAGTATCTCGGGATAAAAATGATTTTACACCGCCACATAGTTTCATCCCCTTTTTATTGCCACTTTTCGGCCGTAAATCACTCTTAGTCTTTTCTTATCCTAGTTTACCAAAGTTAGGATGCAGCAGAAAGTTTAAGTGATGTTCAGCCGAACAAACTCCAAAGTGTGTGGGGTGGGGGGTCGCCATTGTATCGTTCACCCGGCCAGTCGTAAAGGCCGCGTAGGCAGGCCGGTTTGGCTCTGATCAAGGCTGATTTCAAGCAAAGCTGTCAGAACTGCATTCGTTTGGTGAGATGTGTTTATCTTTTCAAAAGACAGAATGAAAAAAAAACAAAATATTTAAGCTTGTCTAGGACTGGAACCAAAACACCACGTGACTCGTCTCTCAAATAGTGGATCAATAATGCATGGTGGGCATTGCCTGAAATGGTGGCACGGTTCGTGGCTCATGTGGGCCTACTAATCTACTCTGTTTCACTTCCAACGTTTGCGCAGCATGTCTATCTTGAACCGAAATCAGAAATCATCGCTCGGGACAGATATAAATTTATCCAGATTTGTATTTTGTATAGAAAAACCCGACTTTGTAGCATTACGGATAAGCTGGCGTTTGTTAACGCCTCTTGTAATGCTTCACGGTTTGGTTCTGATCCTCATCTAAATTTGACGTATACTTTCACTCATAAGCTGGCCACCCAAACTTTGACACCTGGTGTGTATATATTTACGTGCAAGGCCAGCCCAGACAGCCGTGCAGTTGTAAGCCGACGTTTGCTGATTGAACAGTACGCTCCTCGTTTGGATTGCGGCGCAAGGTCACGGGTCATCCGGATAGAACCAAAGCATTCACTTTTCCCCATTTGTTGCTTGCGCATCCCGACAAGAGCCGACTGGATAAGGGATCTGAAACGACCGATCAACTGGTGTCTTGACGACCTGAGATGTGTATCTCCATATAACAGAACACGTTTTGACAGAGGAAATTTGTATTTCCCTGAACTCAGTAACATCATGTCCGGAGCGATCACGATTCGTTGCAATGATGCGGAATATGAGGAGGAACACTATCTTATAGGTAAGTAAGTTGACTTTTTTTATCGGTGTGAAGATACTACTGATGTATTATATACAATCTCCTCTCAAAGGCCTCAAAAACAAAAAAATCTAAATTGAGAAATGAATTCTGTGGCACATATTCTTCACATTTTTGGTCATAGTTTTGATAAAACGCTCTCTGAATCACTGTCTTTGATTACGTTTTGCTGTTGGACTCAGATGAGCGCCGCTATGCAATATACAGTGATGATAGCGAGTTTGTCTGACAGAAGGTAGATGGGTATTTGTTAAATCTCGGGGTTTGAAGTCCAGGTAAACTTGATGTGAATGGAAAGACATCACTCTTGATGGACTCGAACTATCGTCAGGCCATCCCTAAGACCTACAACCTACCAGCTACGCTACTCGACTACGCTCTTTCACGTGATGTCTGTGAACTTGAAATCAGAATAAGTCGCTACGCATCGATCAACTAGACTAAAAGGCGAGCACTGTCATCACTGTGAGTGACCAACTTTTTTTACCTATAAAATGAACCAGATTGTAACATTGTTTAGATTCACATTAAACAGGCTGAGCGGAGAATCTTGAAACGCATATTCTAAGTAAGAGGAATAAAAGAATGAGCCAACAAACTACTCGTTTGATCGATATGCCAGTAAATGATATGTTTGAACTAGCATTTCTGGATTACCTAGCAACATGAGCAAGCTGTTGAAAAATCATCATCTGTAATGGCCTCGTACTTGTCGTACAGTGGTTGTAGCTGCGCATTGGAGGCTGGAGCTGATAAATTGGTGCGTAAATGCAGTACTGTCAGTGAACTGTTAAGGGGGGAAACAGGAACCAAGACAAACTAATATTTTACTTACGAGACATCCATAATTACCTTATTTTTTCATGGTTTTTGTTTCGATGACACCAAGAAGCGCAGACGTTTTTGGTTCCAAATGAGAGTAGCACTGGAAATGGAAATTCAAAATCCAGATGCATCTGAGATGTAACGAGCATATTTTGTTCGAAGTATAAGACAAACTTGTGCCCTGATAAAACGTGATAAGTATTTCCGAAGACAACAGAATATTTGATAGGGAAAACACTTATAAGCGCAAGTGATCAATTTTATGAAATAGAAGGCTGCAACAAGAATACAGTCTGCCATCCGCGAAGGATCATCATAAGCATCATCGACAGCATGACATCAGTGTTAAACACCGATGCTTCACTGCCGTACAACCATGATTTATTTGAGAGCTTTATTGTAAAGAAAAGAGTGAAGGTGGACAGAGAAGGGACTTAGTGCTAGCTTAACACAATCATTCCGAGGTGCCTGCACCCCCACACATTCACTCAGACACTCTGGATGGAAACTGACAACAAGAACGCCACTGACATCGGTTGGCAGCCATACCTTGTAGTGTCTCCTCCGACCAGGCACAGTGAGGATCACGCGGTCCCCATCCTGGAAGGCGAGTAGAACCGACGGCACCCAAACGTTTCGTGATCTCCATAGTACTCTGCCAAGTCAAGGGTTAACTACCTCTCTGTTTACGCCACTCTGAGTTGGTCATGAAAAACAGCACTCTTTTACGGCAAGAGTCCAACGTGAGTGCAAGAACATCTTGTTGTCCTGCTTGCTTCAGAGAGCGAACATTAAACGCGGCCATACAGACTGGGTGTCGAGGCTTGATGACTAATTTGGAGATTCCTGAAGATGTCGGTCGGATGTGACGAGCAGATGCTGCACGCAAAACCGATGCATGACGAACGGAGTCATCAGTCATAAGTGCCAGGCCTACAAGGAGAGAGTTATTAATGGGGTGGGGAGAGGGGGAAGAAAATGTATGTGAAGGAGAAAGAAGGGAGGCGTCATCAGTAGCCTGTTTTCGCTTATCCGCCCTGCTGTATGCAGCAAGTAAGGCGACCCGGCTGATGGCACCACGCGGCGACCGATGTGGCATGAGAGTATTGTTGGTTGTGAGTGTCATGGCTGTACGAGGGCTGGGATACTGCCAGGGCGCCCACACCTAGACAGGATATTCTCCTTTTGTATGAACAATGTAGTCCCCGAAAGAGAGTTCAACACGAGAAGATAGAACAATAACCCTCCACAGTAAAATATTTTTTGTTGAGGGAATTGCATACTGGATATTGGCTGAGAAAGCTCCAAGTCTTACTTTTCTAAGGGCGCATTTAATTCTTCAAGGATGATCAATTCTAAGCAAATCAGCACGATTTTTATGTATTAAAATATCTCTGGGTAGAATATATTGCTCTTTTTAGTATACACAATCCTTATGTCGGCCGTGAGTTTCTGATGGCGCTGGTATTCTGGAACCTAGCATCGTATCTGGCTTGGGACAAAACATGTTTCTGTGTGATGCATATTTCGTTCAAAAGGACGTTTACTGTGTTCCAACTATAAACAATAGTTGTTTGTTCATTCGGGAAGTATACTAAATTGCAAAATAATTTGACTTTAACAGAAGATCCAACTTACTCCTCAGTGAATCTCTCGTTTACAATTTTTTTCAACTGAATTTACCGCAGAAAGTTCAATTCGGGTGGCTTAGAACATAAGGATGTCGGAAACTCGGGGACAGCACCCTACAGATTAGCTCGAAAAAGGATAAAAACGCTCACGAGCTGTCGAATAGTTTTAAGCAACCTTGTGAGTTTCGTCTGAATCTTATTGTCAACCGCGAAGTTTCACAAAGGTCGATTTGTGATTGATTCCCAAGTAAGTAACTATCATGTTAACAAAGAAAAGCTGAACTTGGTAATTTGTTGAAATATTGGTAGGTCGGGTGAGTTTATTGGTTGTTGATCAGGTGGCTGTTGATCTGCGCATCAACTGCGCACTGATGATGTCTCCTCGTATGGTGACGAAACGTTTGCAAGCCAATTGCCAAGCTCGGCGAACATATCAACAGCCACCTGATCAACAACCAAAAAGCTGGACTCTCCCACCTTGAATAGTGTTTCAGCACTCCAGAGTTCTCCTCTGCCTCCTGAGTAGTGTCATATGAGAGAAAAGACGCACGCAAAAATTGTTTTTTCAAGAGTGGAAACTAGTCCGCCCTTTTCTTAATAAAAATAATCCAACGGGTAGTGTTTCCTCACTTTGATAGATTTCTGATCATATGGTTTTCAGCCAGACCTTACCAAACTGTGCTCATGACTTTATTACCCAAGTTTACCCAGTTAAGCTCTTCACACCTGAAATTTATTTGACCTCTTTTTTCTCATCCACTCAAACCACTCTGAATTCCTTCTTTCGAAGTAACAGGCATTCAATAACATTTCAGCGACTTTACGACTGGAGTGTGAAAGATTCGCTTGACCGTTGACAACAAGTGTAGCTGTGTGCATTTGCCCATATGTTTACTTCCGGATCTGTGGTTCCTTAATAGTAAAAAAAATAAAATATGGGTGACTTAAAATAGTCAGCATTTATTAGATCTCCCACGCAACAAACTGAGGGTGACTAAAAGCACAAGGGAACATTCTCAGTGTATTTGGTGTTTAGGATGCTCATCAGTGATCACGGTGAAAAGTTAATGTACTTTACCATTTTTTCGTTTCTTCACTGTTCGAAACCTATGTTTCCTTCAGGACACTCATTGTAGGCCCTTGAATCCAACAAACACCTCTGCAACTCCCAAAAAATGCACGCACTATAGGTTAAGAACCACAGTCAAAGAGTGTGATCGCTGTCTTGTAGCACTCTCCAGGGGGCATTTCCTGTAAAAATGCTTTGTTTCTGAGAAACGAACCCACCAAACGCCACCACCATTATTTTTTTTAATGTGAGTGATAATTCAGAGTTTTTGAGGTAGCTTGGCAGATTACTGACCGAGGAGGATGTAATCCATTCGGTAAACAATTTTAAATTCACCTCGTGTACGCTGCCTAGACACAGTTGAGCTTACTGAACAATATGAGCAGATTCCCAGAATATCACTATGAATTGTCAGATATGGGTGAATTTTTTTTAAAAAAAGAACAGATGAATTTGAATTGTGCAGATTAACTAAAACCCTTCCACCTATCTGACTACATCACCACTTTCAGGCCTTGGAACGTCGGGTTTGATGATCCACGTACATCCGAATCACTCCGTTTTGTTTGTCGAACAACATAAATCTTTGACATTCTGCGTCGGGTTTCCAAACAAGCCAGACTGCTTTGACCGTCGACCCGAAATTTCGCCGATCACATGCACAGCACACCAGAATAATGTCACAATCTCATTCAAAAATCGATTACAACTTACCACGGGGGTCAGCGATGGAGCATATGATATTAAGTGTCATCATCAACAAACTTTTCTCAATAGGTCAACCACCGTTTTGGTTCTTCACGATGGATCATTCATCTTGGATTGCTCAATGGCTCCAAGGATAATCTACCTGGAAAGCAAACTGAACCGCTACGTGATTTGTCGATTGA